TAATATCAAAAAAGCCAAACTTTTTTTAAACTTTGAGTGAAGATATCTCGACACCCACCAAGCCAAATTCGAAGAACATTTTTTTTTTGAATTCTACAGATTCATAGAATTTAAATAAAAAAAAGTTTATAAAATTTGACTTGGTGAGTGTCGAGATTATTTCACTCAAAGATTTAAAAAATTTAAAACGTCTATCAAAAAGAAGAGTTGCACCAAACTTTTTTATCGAAAATGTTTCGGAGATTTCGCCATTTCGGTTTTGCCAGGTTTCGGAGGTTTCACCAGGTTTCGGAAATTTTGCCCATTTCGGAAATTTCGGATTTATTTCGCCTTTGGGAGAATTTTGGTTTTGCCTTTTGGATTTTGGAAATGGATTTCGCCCGCAACACTAGTGTCAGTATTGGTATTTAATTGTTTCCTGTGCATTACAACATTCTTAAACATTCAAAATCTATTACTATGATATTCTAGAAATTCGAACGTTTACATGATTGGGATCATCTATGGCCAGTGTAGGGATGTTAATCATTCCTTTGAGACCGATCCTCAAGGATCAGTAGGGGTTCGGTCCTTAAATTATTTATCGTAATAATTTGTCAGATTATTACTACATACTTGATTAATAATGTATTGCATCTAAATCGGGTATAGAGTAGGAATCGTTGTAAATGTATAAAAGCAATTCATTATTAACAAAAAATGGGAGGATAATTAGTCAAGATAGTTAATATTGATAACTATCGTACAAACAATCTATAATTATTACAATATCTGTAGAGATATCATCATGAATTCGTAAGCGATATTTGAATTAATAATCAATATGTGATAAATTAAGACATTACACTAGTATAGTGTCTTAAACCCCTCTCAAATTTCTTTGTCGGCATGCAACAGATCACTTCCAATGAAGTTGTTAGGCATCTTATTTATTGGTTGCGAACTTTCTCGTGATCTGTCACATTTCCTTTTAGACTAAATGGAAAGAATTTTTATAAAAAAAATTTATATTTTCTTATCTGCGCTACAAGAGTTGCGCAATATAAGCTGCGTTGATAGCTCTAAGCATGCCCCAAAAAATTTTTATCATATTCGGGTTGTATTTATAAGATTTTTTAAGTTTTCGACAACTTTTGATTTCATGATAAGATGTATGCAAACTTTACTTGAAATTACAGTCTGACCTCTATATAATCACCAAGTTGGTTGCGCCCTAATATGGTGCTTATATAAAGGTGTGATTATAAAATTTAAACCTCTATATAATCACAATTATAATAAAAATTATAAATTGTGATTATAAAAGATGTGAAACAGAGGCAAGTGTAAGTAAAGGCGCCACTGGCTCCTACATTTATGTTTATATAAGACTAAAATTTAAAACATACAATTGTGTCAATTTTTAATAAGTAACTTAAGAAATAATTGATCAATTAAGTAAATTAGCACAATTAAGATTATTTCACATATTTCTGTATATCGATATTAATTAAAAAATCATTACACCTATTGACTAAATCAATAAAAGACTTTTTATTAATAAATTAGCACAGATAATAAAAATTGATAAGAGATACGTACATACAGTCAACTCTTTCTTATTCAAACAGCCCATTCTTGGGTTTTTAGTTCGGTTTTCAAAGAGGTATTATAAGCTTATTTGAACTTTATAATAAAATTTATAAATGTCTTAGAGTTTTTGGTTCAGTTAAGAGAGAGTTTGGTTTAGAGAGGTTTGGTTAAGAGAGAGTTGACTGTACATTGTTTTCAGATTCTCAATTATAAAATTTCTGTAATTGGCTTTCAAAACATAAATATACAAGCCAGGTTAAGCCAATAAACATCTTCAGCATTAAACATAGATGCTATAGCTTATTTGCTACTTATAATTTCTGCAATTGGCTTTTTAAAACCTAAATATATATCTAGTCAATAAACATCTTCAGTAATAAATATAAATAAAAAGCCTCATTCGACGAGTTAAATATCTAAATTATAGAGATAATTTATTATTTTTATTGATAGCTTCATCTAGACCAAAATTTCACTAGTAATTTTTTAGCAAGAGAAGTAGGGATTCACTATTATTATAAAGTTTCATCAATTCAGTTTTTTTTTTTTTTTTCAGAGGTTTCATAATTTTGGGGCTTAGGTTTCGTCTAACAACTATAGGCTTAGGTTATTTAAGCATTTTAGTATCCAAGTTATGGGTTTAAAACTTTACTTCAAAACATCAAGGTCACAGATTTAATCTTTAAACTGTGGCACTAGCAATTAATTTTTAAAATTAGATTCAAACCAGAAAATATATAATCACTATTTTTTTGAGTAGTTCTATATAATATATAGCCAATTAGATTAATTTATTTGTAATTATATAGTTAAAAATTAGTGATTATAATAAGGTTTATTTATTAATAAAAGTGATATATTTATTAAAATAAATGGTGATAGTGATTACAGACGATTTGTGACTATAATAAGGTTTTTTACTATATTTAAGTCTGTTGCACAATTTTGGGTGCTTATATAGAGTTGTGACTATATAGGGCGTAATTATAGAGAGGTTAAACTGTATTGACCAAAGCAAATCAGAAAACACTATGTTTTTACTTTCCTCACCAGCATTTTTCTCCATATGATAGCAAGTGATCATTTTGATCATGTGAGAATTCTGGCCATCTTGTTCTGTCAATCTGATTGGTTATAATGATTATTGTATATATGAAAATATTTTTAATACTCTGGACTTATACTGGTCTTCGGTTTTTAGTGTACATATATATATATATTGTAAAAGTGTGACTAACCACTTTAAAGCTAAAACTAACTAATAACTATACTAAAACACTTAAACTATATAATCTACAATTCTAGTACTCTAAAAATAATTTCAGGACTCTTAGGACCTTATAGTGGAAGGCTTCGAATAGAGGCATGGAAGATTTGGTCTGATTTACAAGATCTTTTGGGTCTTGTAATGTTTTGCCGGATTAATATAAGTATTTTTTGGTTTTATTGTTTCTTGTTTGTTTCTATTGTATTGATGTTTCTAATACTTAACATCCTTTATCTTTTCTCAGTTTAGCATATTACGGCTTTAGAGTCATATATGGTGTTACTTCGATAATTGCGGCTTTTTAGTAATTTAATATTTGACTTTAACTGGTGTTACTTGCTGATCTGGCCCCTGTTCGGTTATTATATCATGAGTCATAAATCACAGGTTTATTGCGCCGAATATGCCAAACAAGCCACATGTGCCTATTGTGCCATATGTCCCAGTTATAGTACAAGGAATATAGGAGGCATAAGTAGTATTAATAGTATAAGGAATATTTGTAGCGGTTGGGACATTTATAGCTCAAGGGCTATATGTTATTATTAGTAGATAGTTTATTATATATATAGACGATATTCGCTTCACTTTGTAGGCATGTTAACCATAATAGTTTATTAATATAAATAAAGGACACTACAATCGATTTCAAAATATACATCACACACTCTTTCAAATTGCTAAATCATTAACTCTAAGCCCTTTCGTTAAATATATATTTACAACTTTAACATACTATTGCATAGTTTTTGTGTTTCTATGCTCACATGACTCCCTGTTATAAGTTAAATCATTAACCCTGTTTTTGAGAGGTAATAAAAGGTTAACAATTGGTAGTGAACTGTAAAATTCATAACGAGAATTGATGCTAGAATTACAAGTAAGTTTGAATACTACTCTGTGTGAGCTGCAGATTCTGTGTAAACAGTTGAAGCGAAGATAGGGGAATTCTGTAGATTCTATATGAATTACTCAAAGTGTTAGTATAAGAATTGTTGTGGCTGATGCTGAAAATGGCTGATACTGGAATTTTAATTATTTTAATATGAAATTTTCAAAAATTTTTAGAACCTTTTGTTAGGGGGTTTTTTTTAGAGTTAGGTTAGGGTTTAGTAGTAGTTTTAATAATAAAAAAGTATAAGTAAATTTTAGTAAAGTTTTTATTTTTAAATCAAGGTTTCTAATTTCCAGCTTTAGATACAACAATAATTTATATAGTAAATTAAATATACCAAACCTTTAAGAATAAAAAAAGAATCCTGAAACCAGAAATCATAGTATAGAATGCATTTGATGGTAATATCTAAACACCTACAGTGACAATGTCCTTGATGCTAAAAACAAGATCATTTAGTTCTTGAGTACAAAAAAGCTGTATGCTTATTAGAACACTTACCTATAACAAGGTGAAGAGCTTCAAGAGATAATAGACAAAAAATTTTGTGGTCTTCTTTATGATAAACAAATACCTGCAGCTCTGGATTTTATATTGAAAGTATTGGAATTTATTGTTATAAAAGATAAAGAAAAAGGCAAAGATTATTACAAATGGTCTAATATAGACTATTGCGAAGCCAAAGTCAGAAAGATTAAACATAAGGCATTTAAACTTTATCAAAAATTAGCTAAACAAACTTATAGCTATGAAACGGACAATCTCTATGATGCTAGCTAGTATTGTCAAAATGATGATGAATTGGAAATAATTAGAAAGAGAAGACTTCAGAGCCCAAATACAGGAAAAAAAAACTATAAAAAAGAAATTAATAAATATCAAGATGAAAGTGTAAAAGAAAAACGAAATAGAAGTGAAGAAAATGATATTGCCAAATTAATACAAGACTTACTTAATATCTGCAAAACAATATCCCAAGAAATAGCCTAAGAGAAAAATGAAATTACAGAAAAGAGTACTATTAGGAAATCTGAAAGTTTGATGATAGACCTAATTAAGGACGATTATAATATAGATAAACCAGAAAGAGATAAAATGGAATTTGAAAAGGTTAAACAAAAAGAAACCTGATGGGCTATCGAAAGATGGCTAAAACCAATATTGTTAATAAAATGGATTTGGATTAAAAAAAGAAGAAAAAATAGAAAATATATTGGCAGTACTTAGTTCTGAAATTGGCAATGAAGTTGGAAGCAAAGCTTTACATAGTGTATATAAAAATTGAATACAAAGAGTTAATGAATTTCGAAGAACTATTAACGAAGTAAAAGAGCCTGCTGAAATTATAGAAATATTGGATGCCAGTAGTTATAATTGATCTGAAATTATAGTTGGAAAAAACAAGGAGTATGACTCTCAAAAATTTGCTAAAATTAATAGTGAAAAAGACAAAATCGAATCTAAAAAAGATATACATAAAGATGAAATAATAATCGAAAAGAAGGTTTTAATAAATTACAAAAATGATAGCAAGAGCCACAAAGATAATAATGTTGAATATAACAATGCAAATAATGGCAGCTTCAAAAATTTTTAATGCGAAATAATGATGAAGAACCTGAGTATAAAAAGATAGCTCTAAACCTAATTAGTTATTATCTCGAAGAACTTTAGAATGCTGACGATGATAATAACAATAACGAAACCTAGTACCCTTGTAACAATGAAATCTCTGCAGAATGGTTGAGCCTGAATAATCATGAAAATGTCAAAAATAAGATTCTAATTAATTACAGAAATTCTGCTAAAATGAATTATACCGATAAGATTGAAGTGGAAAAAGACAATTATAAAGCATTTACTAATTATCAAAAGTTGCAGGTAGCAAATAACTCTGAAAAAACATTTCAAGTCAGTTATTACTATAAACCAGAAGCTGTCAATGATTATACAATTTACTTTGATAGTTCTAGCAATTTTGACTTTAAGCACAAGAATAATGATAGGGCCCACAAAGATAACAAGATTAATAACGATATTAATAATAACAATTTTGAAGAGTCTCTAATGCGAACTGTTGATGAAGAATTAGAAAAAACTTGTCTGAATTATAAGAAGGGCTATAGTTTAGGTATAAATGAAGAGATAAAAGATTACCTGAAGACTAAAACTCAAAGGATAAAAAAAGAAAAAGTCAAACACAAATTGAAGCCCTAAATTACTTTATTTGGCCCCAATATTATCTTATTATTACTTATATGCATGATGATAGAGTATACTCAAATAAATTTAGAAAGAAACAAAGTAACGCACAAATACAAACCCAATATGATTAATTAAGTAATTAAGTGCATCTTTGAAGATGAATCTAAGGTATCAGTTTATTATTAGAAATCTGTTAATATGGGCATTGAAGTAGCAATAAGAATATTGCTTAACTGTATTGAAATGGTATTAGTACAAAAAGAGATATTCAGAAGATAAATTATTGGTCTAAAAAACATAAAAGTCTTTTGAAAATTAATAAATCAACAAATCATATCAATTCTGAATTTAAGAAGGCATTAGACAATGAAAAATATAAATTATCTTGAATTGATTATGATGAGTTTAGAAATATCATAGAATTAAAAAAAAAAGAATTTGCAACTGTGTATTATGTACGTTGGTTCAATGGAATTAATTATGCATAGTGCAGTGTTGTACTTAAAGTAATTTATAATTCAAACAAAAATGAGCAAAAATTTATCTGAGAAATTAGAGGTCCAATTTGGATAAATCTGTTATCCATTTATCCATATCTGAATTTATTCGGATATCCATTTACTATTGGTATCCAGATAATCTAACAAATATTCAGATAATTATCCAGATATCAATAGTAAAATAGATATCCAAATAAATTCAGATCTGGATATCCAATAAATAAATGGATAAACAAATAATGGATAGGAACTCTACGAGAAATGAAGAATTATGAAGATAGTAATGAAGATGAAGCTGTGGAAGATGATTGTGTTTATAATGATAAAATAGCCATGGATAAAGGTATGAAGATAAATAAAGAAAGCCAATATATAGATATTGCTAAGTCTTTTAATAATGAATTAGTTTATCAATTACTTGATCCTGGAGGAAGTATTTTTCTGAAAATAAAAGAGATCAAGTTTGAGTCTAAAGTCAATTTAATTACTATCTTATATGATCTTTATATGTAGAAGTATAAATTAAGTAGGAGAGATTGTTATTCTGCTAATCTGGCCTCTGTTCAGTTATTACATCACAGGTTATGAGTCACAGGTTTACTATGCTAAATATGCTAAATGTGTAACATGTACCCATTGTGCCGTATATTCCAGTTATAGTACAAGGGACATAGAAGGCATAAGTAGTATTAATGGTATAAGGAACATTTATAGTAGTTGGGATATTTATAGCTCAAGGGCTATATGTAATTATTAGTAGATAGTTTATTATATATATAGACAATATTTACTCTACTTTGTAGGCATATTAGTCATAATAGTTTATTAATATAAATAAAGGACACTACAATTGATTTCAAAATATATATTACACACTTTTTCAAATTGCCCAAATTACTATATACTAAACCCTCTCGCTTGTATACTTACTTACAACTATAGCATACTATTGTACAGTTATTGTTTTTTTTTTAATATTAAGGTGACCACTTAGGCCCTTGGCACTTTATTAGTACAAGCGGTAGGCCAATGTTAATTTT